TAAAAGACTTAAGTCATCCGAGTCTTTGCCACAGTATCATCTATACTCGTTTATATAAATAACTGCTTTTTGCATCAGTAAGAGCCATTATTTTGATGCCATACTTACATGGCTTATTAGTTATATATACACATTTTAAAACGGCACCTTCCCCCAAAACTGACAAGCATTTGATCAACAGTTACCGATTGACCTAGACCATATGCGTTTTGCCAATTTTCAATAAAAAAATTGAATATATAAGAAACTACTGCTACTGGATCATGATTTTTTCTTTCTTCTCGATCATCAGGATTATCAAAACAAAGAGCTGATTAAATGACTGTAACGTTCTTTAATTTGACCCGTTTAAATGCCTTCTTAAGGTCTTCTTATTAACATAGATATGCTGATTTGTTTTATTCTAATGATTTTTCTTGCACTTACCTCGTTATAATTATAGTGTATATTATGCATGATCTTTCCGACCTAAAACCTTGTTTTTCTGCTAGTGTTCTACTTTCATTTAGCTTATTTGTTATCACTTTGGTTGTTAATTTTAAATTTTTAAATAATTCGTGAGTTATATATTTAAAGGAAAGTAAAAATATGAATATGCGCAAACTGAAATAAATTAATGATTTTTTGCTATTAAACAAATAGAATAACTTTTTATGGTACATCCTTCCAAGTTAAATGGTTTAAAACAATATATGGTTTTCTTAAATCGCACTTAAATGTAAGAGTAACTTTATCAAATTTGGACGATTTAGGTCCTCTAAATACTTTAAAAGAATTCTCTACTAGCTAAATATCAAAGAGTTTTTTTAGAAATGTTAGTTTGGTTGATAGAGCTCCTTTGATTTTAGGTGAATTATTTATATTTTGGTCTTAATAAGTTAAAATCTTTAAGATACTTAAAAATATCTTTAACTAAATTATAATGACTTCTTTGTAGAATACCGTGGCACTTAACCTGTTGAACTGAAGGATCTCGCGTAAACTCTGCCAAGTGTAAGACGTTTTTTTGTAGTCGAAAGTTGCTTCTTTACTAACTTCGTGAAATAAAATTAATGAGACTAGTATTTTTTTTATTAAATTTTAATAAAATACACAATTTATTTATACGTTATGTATGGCATGTGTGTTCTGACGTCGGTCGTGTAAATATTTTTTGGTGGTGCATATGCATCTTTTTGCATATTCCTATAATTTGATTCCAAAATCCAGTGCTTTTTATTCTTATATATAACGGTGACTGATTACGAATACTTTAAGAATCTTGGGTAGAAACGGATTGCTGTAGTAAAGTCAAATATGAGTATGAAGCCTTCAACATCTAAAACAAAAACTATTATTTACGAATATTGCTCATTTTCTGTTCAAATATGTAATATTTTTGTCTAAAATTTTTATTTCGATTTCTTTATTAATATTAATTGTTTTATTCCAATTTAAACTAGGATTTCGCTACATAAGAGTCATAAAATAGACATCGGTTACATTTTACTCATTATCTATTGAACCATTACGTGAGGGTAATAATGGTAACTTGTTCTTTTCTCAAGTTGTCCAAACTTAAATTAATATTGTTATATATAATACACCAGGGGTATTTTAATTTTAAAGTAAACAGTTGTCATTGTATTAGAGCATTGTAAATATTTTGGCGTTGAATAAAATTTATTTTTAAAAAGTTTAACATTGGTATCAGTAGTAAAATAGAAGAAATATTTAGAAATTTTTAATGGTAAATACAAAATACAAAACAAATACGTCCGTACCACCCGCATGGTTTTTAAAAATGAAGGAAGAGAACGAACTGAAGAAGAAACAAACAGAATAAATGGAAGAGATACTTGGACATGAAGAAAAAGAGAAAAAGAATAAGCGTAGACAGCTAAAAGAGAAGCGTAGACAAAAAAGGGATGGTGGGAAGAAATGGCGTAAAAATAAGAGGTAGAAATCATAAATACTTTGTCTTAAATTCACATTTTTAAAGTCAAATTATTATTAAATTAGACAAATTAGAAGAACAACAATGTAATTTGAAAAATAAAATAGTAGAAAAACAAAATAGTATAAAAAACGCTTTACAAAAATCAAATGTTACAACAACAAAACAATTTAAAGACCAATTTGGAAAATTAATTAAAATAACATTAAAACAATTTTTAAAACAACAACAAAACTATTTGGAAAATAAAATAAAACATCATAAAAACGATTTAAAGTGTAAACTAAAAAGCCAAATAGTTAAGGTAGAAATAAAAATTATTACTCAAGCTTTTTTACCTAATATTGTTTCACTTACTTATATCGAATCATAACAAACAGATTCATCATCCTCCACAGTTAAATTAGGCACAATTGGAACTATCAAAGTTTTAAAGTCACCCATATTTGAATGTCAAACAGCATGATGAACCTCTATCTATCTATATAGTCTATGTATATAATCTATCTAATTAGCCTTCTTCGGTCCATCTTTGGACATAGGCCTTCCCAATCCTTTTCCATTCTTCTCTGTCTGTCGCTACAGTCATCCACCTAGAGCCCACGTGCTTCTTGATATTTGATATCATCTGCCCATCTCATTTGGGGCCTTCCTCTGCTTCGTTTATATTCCCACGGTATCCAACTTATAAGAATCTTGTGCCATCGGTCTTCTTTTTGTCTTATATTGTGCATGCGGAACTTATTGTTTTCAATTCAAAGCTGCAACTAGGGCAAATGACTGGACTAAGAAAAAAAATAGCAGCTTGCTTGGTAGTCTTGTTTTGAGGACAGGCAGCAACCATCTTACAATTTCTTTCCCAATATGCACAATTTACATTATCCTAGAGGTTTAGCATATACAGTGAACGGCTGAACTATGAAATATTATCATTATTTCCAGAACCGTCGAGTTTTAAGGGAAATTTCAAAACTGATCGATTTTTGTAATGAAATCCCCATGTTATAACGTACATGGAGTAGGGATCATGTCACCGGTGTAGGTGTAGTAACATAATCGTGAATTTATTTAAATAGAAATCTGTATAATGCGACACCTCATTTGAAAAAGAATTTAATTCTCTATTTAACGACGATACATTTTTAAAATAATATTTTTTTAAGGGGAACAAAAACAATTTTTTTTAACTTAAACAAAATTACAACTAATAATTTAATTGATAATATACTTACCACTTACTACTTACTATAAGTAACCAAATTATGCATCAGAAATATTTTAAATTAAGTGTTCGAAATGCCATCTATCGGTTCATGCCATGACTTTCTGAAGTAAATACTTAAAAAAGCAAAAATAAGTAAAAATAATAATGGACACAAAAAGTTATATCATAAACACTGACACTTTTTGTTAAATGTTAATTCAAGCCAGTGATAGTGGCATAGTTACTGTAATATTTATTAACGTAAATGTTTTGATTTTGTGAATTGTCATCAGTTGTCAATTGTAATTTTTACTTTTGAATACTAAATTATGGCTCACCTAAATGAAATACAACGCATAGAAATATTCATTCTTAGCGGATGCGGAGATAAAAAAGAACACAGAACGAGGTATACAATTTATTCAACGCAAAATATCCAGACAGACCCATCAGCCAATCAATAGTAAGTAAAATACTCCGAAAATTTGAAGAAACTAAGCACATATTCCAAACGTTGGGCATCCTAAAATTGAAAACAATGTGAAACATGATATTTTATTTAATGTACATGATAATCCTCACAGTAGTTCAACACAAATGGGTGAATATGCTGAACTTTCAAAACAATCGGTATTACGTATTTAAAAAAAAAACTATGCCTACAAAATTCAACTATATTAGGAATTAAATGACGACAATCCCGATCACCGGCTTTAATTTTCTTAAATTATGCAGGATTTATGTATCGGCAATCCACATTTCATTAATCAAAGCTTTTTTCCCGATGAAGTCACATTTTTTATACATGTTACCGTAAATCGTCAAAATTGCAGATATTGGAGTCAAGAAAACCCACATTAGATGACTGAGTCACACACACAATATCCTCAGAAAATAAATGTATTGGCAGGGATCATTAATGACAGAATCATTAGCCCTTTTTTCTTTGAAGAATATCTAACAGAAAAACGTTATTTAACTTTTTTGAGAAATCAACGTATACCTGTGCTTGCTAACATGTATTCAAATGCCAATAATCCAAATTTACCTAGTGAAAATATCTGATTTCAACAAAATGGAGCCCCTTCGCATTACGCACGTGAAGTACGTCAATTTTTAAATCATTGCTTTTCCAGGAAGAGGATCGGAATACGAGGTTTTATAGTGTGGCCAGCAAGGTCGCCAGATCTAATACCTCTAGACTTTTTCGTGTTGGGTTACATAAAATCCAAAGTTTATGTCACTAGACCCCAATACTTACAGGACTTGAAAGATAGAATTAGGCATGAAATAAGTCTACTTACTCCAGAAGTCATCTGCAATGTACTTGATGAATGTGTCCTTATATTCGCATATTGTCAAGAAACCGATGGATGGCATTTCAAACATTTAATTTAAAATAATTATTATGCATAACTTGGTTACATTAAAGTAAAGTTTGGTTACTTGAATTTAAATTTAAAAAAAATTTGTTTTTGTAACCCAAAAAAATATTTTAGTTAAAAATGTAATGTCGTTAAATAAAGAATTAAATTTTTCTTCAAATAGGATGTCGCATTATCCGATTTCTAATAAAAAAATTAACGATTACGTCACTACACCTACACCGGTGACGTCATCCCTACTTCATGTACGTTATAAGATGGGTATGTTACAACCAAAATTGACCTGTTTTGGTATTTCCCTCAAAACTCGACAATTCTCGAAATAATGATAATATTCCATAATTTAGCCGTTCACTGTATAAATTTAAAACGAAACAGTTGATTTTATAAAATATGATCAAAATGTAGTACGGCGGTAGTAATTAGGTAAAACCAACCAAATGTAAAGATACCTATTTTTTAAAAACCAACTTACCGTAATAAACAGGGCATAATTAAATGTACCTAGAGGTAAAGCGTTTATTCTTAGGGGTTCGTGTGATCTCTTAATTATAAATGCCAGATCTTTTCTCATTTGTTTGCTGCTTTTATACCAGTCTGACTCGAAAACAGCATCAGCTATTGATAAGCTCTACAAAAAAATTAAAAGTTTATTTTAATTAGGAATATGAAGAAAACAAAATTTTAATGCACTTACAAACATAAATTTTGTGTTTAAGCAGACGAGTTGATAATAATAAATAATGGAATATAAAACAGAATATCCGTCAAATAAAAATAGTGACACCATATCTAATATCTTCATTATTAAATCCTTTCTTCGAGATATTGTAGAATAACACACCTTTAAGTCGTCCTCTAAAGATTTTAGTAAAAGATTTTTTTCTTGATGGCGTTCATCGACGATTAATCAGGTTCACAGATATAAGAAGTTCCAGTCCATTGATGACGTATTGAGTGAGAGAAAATACTTTGTGATGTTGTTATTCAACTTACTACTTTTTTATCCACAGTAAAAGATTTTGCTAAAACAAACTGATTTTGTCAGTAGAGGTGAGGTTGTTTTCTTGATTTCCCTACATGTTTTTATTTAAAACATACAATTTTTCAAAATATTTGCCAAAAACCCAACTTTAGTGCATTAAGTATCATCACCAAGGAAATTGATATATTCAGACTAACTCGCTAAGTAAAAAATGCTAACAGCTCCACTTTAAATTTATAGAATCTTTGAAAGAGATCTCCGCAAGATACTAACCATCTTACTTTGGATGCGACAATACCTGCATATACTCAGACTTCATAGCTGAACATAAGCTGTTAAACAATTTTATATCAGCTGTTCATAGCTGAACATTGAAGGGCAACCGTAAACACTTAACAAGACAGCCAAGACGAACCAGCAGTGATAAAATAACTGCTAGTTATATATTATAAAGTATATAGAATATATAGAATACTAAAATATTCTTCGTTGGAATTAATTTAATAGTTTTATGTAAAGTTAGTGGTGCCACAAAATTGATATCGAATAGAAGGTCATTCCTAAAAAACCTTAATACATACCCATGATACTATTACTAAACAAGATAAGTCAACGCGCATGTTCTTGTGACGTAAGCCCGAGACAACTTGCCAAAATGCCAAATTGTCAAAATTAATGACAGCAAGTTAAACTTTAAAATTAAATTTAAATTTTTCATTTGATGCAATTCTAGTTATATAAATAAAAAGAATTAATATTAATAACAGCAAAGCAAATGTTTCTATGGAGAATAATAAATGTTTCTATAGATAATAATATATACTAATGCCCATTTTAATAGAACTTACAGTAATACTTTATTCTTGATAGGTCTTTCAAAAAAGTTACTTTAGATGTATGTAGTAGTGAACTAGAACATATTTTTCGTAGTTATAATGGCGACACGTTAAAAATAACAAAAAATTATTTAAAAAACTGCAAAAGCTGCAAAATATGTAAATGTTAGCGAAGATGTAAAATTACTTTTTTTTAGAAGTAAAATGTATTTTAAAATACGAATTATATATCAAAATATTTAAGATAATTACTATACCGCAAAAGAAAAAGCACGAACATTGTAAAATAAATGTCTAAATGATATTCATAAAGCCTCAAGTTTGACCCTCTTTTCCTTTGTGGTCAAATTCTTTACATTTTACCAGCCTTTTATATTTAATTTATGTTTTGTAGCAATATTTATTTTGTTTGTAATACACACAATCAAATCGTAGATTCATATATTTCTTTAATTAATTTTACAAATTACTTATTAATTTTCAAAACACGTTTTCACAGAAAGTAACTAGTTATGACTTCTTAGTGCAAGATATGGCATCGAGGTATACTTACCGTTAACAGTTTAAGTTTTGAAGTTGTTCAATACAGTAATTGAACAATGTTGCCATAATAATGCATCGTTAAAGACTTTAACGACAAAACATAAATTAAATATAAAAGGCCGGTAAAATGTAAAGAATTTGACCACAAAGGAAAAGAGGGTCAAACTTGAGGCTTTATGAATATCATTTAGACATTTATTTTACAATGTTCGTGCTTTTTCTTTTGCGGTATAGTAATTATCTTAAATATTTTGATTTATAATTCGTAAGTATGATACACACAAGTCCAATGGCTTTGTCTCGCTATGACGACATACGCAAAGTCAATTAAAATTAGAACAGCAAGTGAGCATATCTTGTTGTTATAGTATCATGATACATACCCAGTGACTGCATTGATGAGAAAACGGCTCTGAGTTTAAACTTTGTTAAAAGAACTCCGAGCTATTGAAGAAAAACAGTTGCATATTGGGCCTGAAGTACCTAGTACAGCCTTCTTCTAGGTGATGCGCATTTTGCTCACGTAAACATGACAGAAAATCGAGGATAACGTGCAGTATATGCAAAAAATTCATATAGGTCTGAACAAGCAGTTAACAGTATGCCCAGATTGCAATAACCAAACTAGTGGTTGATATAATATGTTTAATAATATAAAGACATTATATACAACAATTTTGTACTTTTCTAAATATATTTGAATTTTTTGCAAACATGTGGTTTATATTTGGAGTACACCTCTACCCCGGCTAGTAAAATAAGGCAATTATTGATGGGTAGAAGCAGCCAAAGTACAATAAAATTACATGATGTCGAATATTTTTCGCAATCGATATAATGGTGATAGTAAATAAAGATTTTACCTATTAAATAAAACATAAAAATTAATGTTACCTCATCAGTGACTCTTTGACCAGCATGAGATAACCAAAATATGGCTATAACATAACCTCCAAGATAAATTCCAGCGCCCAATGGTTTATACTAAAAAATCAAAAACGCAATTATTATAAATATGTACTTAGCGCCACTAGATACAGTTTGCTAGAGATTTCATTGATAAAAAAATGTGCTATTTTTAGTAAATTTAGGTATTGTAGTATATGATATACGACACATGCAGAAGATTTTTTGTCACTTGTCACTTATAAACAATATATAAAAAATTAGGACCCCAATAATTAGAATTAAAGATTGTATCTAGAGTGTAAAGCTCAATATTAAAACATTTTTACTGAAAAAAATGCAAAAACTTTTTTAATTTTATGGTTAATACTGTTATTGTTTATAACATGTTTCTTAACAAATTAGAAAACATCGGTTTTAAAATAATTATAAATAATTTTGTTAAAAATGCATCCAAATAACTTTTGTGATAAAGATTTTTTACAAGTCGTTAGTTTTAACTGATAAATTTTGTGAGAAGATTCACTCAATAGTTTTTGGCAAAATTCAATTAGTTTTACCTATCAACTTTTTTGCAATATTATTATAAGTAAACTGTTTAGGTCTAGAATAATTCTGCAAGTGCTTAATTGATGTAAGTGGCATATTTTCAAATTCAATCACTTAGTGACCAAAAAGTTTAAGGTAAAAATTCTTGAATAAATTTGCAATATTTTAATATTATCCAGATTTAGCCATACAGCTTACACTCCCTCTAAGGGGCAATTAAATCATCCCTGATACCTACGGTCTTAAATCTGAGCTCTGGTTTAGTCTGGTGCGACTCTTTTCGTATTATCGAGCCCTAGGTGACGTGGTATGCTGGAGTATCTTTCAAAAGTTTTCGCACGCATCTAAAGTAGTAGTACAGCTTTCTGCATGATCTTATATAGTTGTTTATTTAGACCAGATATTTTATGTTTTCTATAAGGTTCTTCGGAATTACTCCAGTGGTAGATAGAATAATAGGTATCGTCTGGGTACTTTCCATTCTATATTTTTTCCTTATTTGTATTTCTATATCTCTGCACTTGGATATCTTTTCGTTGTAATTAACACGCATATTATTGTTGTTAGGTATCGCCACATCGATTAGTGTTGGTTTTTTCGTTGGTTTATGAACTATTATGCGCTACAGTTTTGTCTTTGGGAAGTATATATTTACAGAAGTTAAAATGATAGCAGAATATGGCTTGACTGAATGTTGCTGTAGGTAAAGGGATATACAGATCTCGACATCGTTGAATTGACCATACAACACAATGGCAATAGCTGTGACATGGTACACGTTTGTACCTCTGTATTCATTTACAGTAGGTACGAATTGTCGTAACTTTCACATTGACATTAAAAATTTCAAACGAAATTCTGAAAGAATAAACAAATAAATAATAAAATGCCTATTACGTTGTATAACGTCCAAGAAAAAGTGAAACTTTTAATATGGTACTTTCAGGGTCATTCGATACGTGAAGTAATTGATTTAAAAGGAAAGACCGTTAAGATTTGATTCAACGTATAGTGCGTCTGTATATCTGCTTATACGAATTTTATCCTAAAAGAAATCTTCGGAGCGGCTATTTACAAATGCTTTTACCGTGAAAACAATATTTCCTGTCGTAGTAGAAACAACACTAAAATGGCTTCGATATGGAAGCAATAGCGATATCTGATGATAAATCCGGAAACTAATTCTCGAAACCAAATTCAGATTTCTGCTTTATTCTGTGCCTTCTAAGAATTGCAAAGCAAAACAGACAAGATAAAAATGTAATTAGAGACATGGGGAATCTAAAATCGCATTCCACGACATATCTCCCAATTGATTTATTTATTGTTGTCTTCGAAAATATACCACCATCAAGTGTTACAACAGTTAAAAGTACCAATAATATTTGTAAACTTAAATTATATTGTAAAACTCACAGCTACATTGTAAAACAGAAGTATACCCACAGTTACAACATAAATTTTGACGACACTCTTTAAAAGTTTTAACTATATTTTTTATACCTAAATACAAATAAGCATTTTAACTTCTGTATGCTTTTTTAAACGATGGTATACAGCCAACTACTGAGATTTTCTCATTAATTTTTATTTATGTGTATAAAAACTTATGGCCACTGTCCAAAAACTTACATCGGTCAAACTGGTACTTTTAAGACACGTATAGCAGAACATAAAAAGAGCTTTCAATAATAGAAAAACAAATTGTACATACGCACTTCACTTTCTAGATCATAATCTTATTTTAATTACGAATTTCAAATCCTTCACATCCAAAATAAAGACATTAAACAATCTTTTTGAGAATGTACATTTTATGAAAATTTAAGATAAATAAAGGATAAATAATTAAAAGGTTTAAAATAAAAGGTAATGCACCTTTAGTTATCAAATCGTATTTTATACCCAGCTTCTGTTTTTACCTTCTGAACAATTTGATTGGCGATCATTCCCATTACAACAGCTGCAGTCAGCGACATATGTCCAAGTGTCATTTTTATTAAGTAGTTTAGATCATTTCCCAGCCTAAAACCAATCGTATTAAAATAAAATTTGCAAGGAATGCAAATATAAATTATATAATCTGTATATTCCATTTCGATGTGGTATTAGACGCCATTTTGTTTTTCCACAAATTTAAAAAAGAGTATTGAATTTTACAAAAAACAAATCCATCAATTTTAAAAGAGTAATATAATACTTACTCAATAATCCAATTGTGATATCTAACACAAAACGCCAATTCCTTCTTTCTCGTGTTTTCACTATCGCTTTCAAATATTTTCATAATTTTTCCTTCAAGATAATTAATGTGACAAACCAGAAATTCACTTGATTCAAACGACACAAAAAACATATTTCCTGCTCCAACACATGCCCATATACACACCAGCAATTGAAAAAAGAAGATCATTTTAATTGTTAAACTTGAAACCTTTCCAATAGGTAGCCATATTTGTGTAAGCGTTCCACATAAGTTGTTTTTTTCCTCGTCATTGCTACAGTCCATTTCCAGTAAAGACGTAAAGGCGTAAAACTAAAAATTCAAAAATAAGACACTGATTATAGTAAACCAGAAGGTAGAATATAGATTTAACGTTGGTAAAAAACAGAATATAAATTATGAATTTAATTTATTTACTTACACACATCCCCCCACCAATATAAAAACTATAAATCAGAGACATAATGTTGCATCTATTTTTTACTTCGTCAAAATCATCGGGCTTTCCGAAATCAGTAAAGTTCGTAATATCTTGCCAAAATTTTGTCCATTTTTGCCACCTCATTCTGAAGAATGCAGCACAAAGAAGAAATCCCAAACCTCCGATAGCTACAGCCATATCTTCACTTATTTCGGCTCCTTTGCTTCCTTAAATAAAAAAAGTATAAATTTTTGGTAGTCCTATTCTAAAGATAATATCAGATAATATCAGATAATATCAGATAATATTAGATAATATCAGATAATATCAGATAATATCAGATAATATCAGATAATATCAGATAAATCAAACCCTAGAAATTAAAAGAAGGACACAATTATCATGGGCTGCTTTTGGTAAGTTGAGCTTCATTTTAAAAGACAGAAAAATCCCAATTCACTTAAAACGAAAAACCTATGACACTTGTATACTACCAGTTGCAACTTATGGATTGGAAACTATGGCAATAACAAGAAAAATGGCAGAACAATTAAGAGTAACTCAACGAGCCATGGAAAGGGCCATGTTAAATATAAGCAATCCGATCCAATCCAAAAAGAGCAATCCGTTATCTATTTGGTCTCAAACAAACAACTCATTGCAAGACCTACTTCAAAAGTCACCGAACTTTGACGCTTCCCTCTTTATTTATTTTGGAAACGGTTTGTTTGATTCGAAAGCATCTAAACATTTTTCCCGATAGACCTGACTATGGCTACTCCATTAGAAATTCGGATTGTAACGTTTATTTGCCGATCCCGTCCACTCAGCTAGTAAAGAATTCTATTATGTATCGTGCAAAGAAACTTTATAATCACCTTCCAAGAGAAATTAAATCCGCAACATCCTTCATTAAGTTTCGTAAGGTGACAAAAATCTATCTCTCAGAAAGACCATATTATTCAGTTGACGAGTTTCTTAATGTATAACAAAGAAACAAAATTAGTATTGTTTATAATTACATTTGGGTGTCTCAAGCAGTGGCTACAATTTGTCTCATTTGTTGTTGTCTGTACAAATTATGTAGGTTATACAATAATTTTACTAATTTAAATTTGTGTTATTCTGTTTTTTACTATATTTGTTTTTGTTTTATACTTTTTGTACTATTTGACTGATTTATTTTTTAGCTTTGTCCATATAATTGTTCAATAATTTTCAGTGACAATAAAGCATATTTCTATTCTATTCTAAGCCTTAGAGACAAAATTCCTAACACCGAAATACGTCGAAGAACTAAAGTAACCGACGTCATGGGAAAAATAGCGACATTGAGATGGCAATGGGTAGCACATGTAGCAAGACAAGACATCAGCAGATGGTCTCATAAAGTGACATTCTGGAGACCTCGAGAAAACAAAAAGAAGCGTGGGAAGACCTAAAAACAGATGGATAGACTACATAACTGCTGTAGCTGGAAAGCATTGGATGAGAATTACAAAAGATAGGGAAGCGTGGAAGCAATTGGAGGAGGCCTATGTCCAACATTGGATAAATGAAGCATGAAGAAGAAGAAGAAGAAGATCAGATACTATCAGATAATATCAGATAATATTAGATAATATCAGATATTATCAGATAATATCAGATAATATCAGATAACATCAGATAATATCAGATAATATCAGATAATATCAGATAATATCAGATAATATCAGATAATATCAGTTAATATCAGATAATATCAGATAATATCAGATAAAATTAGATAATATCAGATAATATCAGATAATATCTGATAATATCAGATAATACCAGCTAATATCAGACTGCTTACACATACTATTAAGTACCTATTATTATATATTTAAGAAACAAGCTACAAATACGAAGTAACAAATATATATTTACTGTTAGTCAACAGAAATTAAGTAAAAAGGATTTTTCTTGTTGATATACCCATCCGTGTTGCGTCAAAATAAAACATTAGTAAATTTACTAATGTTTGTATTTTAAGAACGATTTCCGAAGTGGAAATTGAAACGTCAATAAAAACATATTTCTACCTTTAAATATTAATTAACCGGTTATAATTACCAGGTTAAACCCTAAGTGACAAAACCGTTATTACTAAAAATCGGTGAATTGACAACAAGCCCCGTCCCTACTGGATATGGGATTATTGGTCCTTATGTTGTTGAAGATGAGAATGAGCATCCAGTTAGTATTAACCAAAAGCGTTTCGCGTAGAACATTATTACACATTTTGTTTTTTATACAATTTAGAAGATTTACGAAATTTTTGCCGCGTATGAAGTTCCAAGTGCACAGGGAACGGTTTTCACAAGATGGCGAAACGAACGATATAGCTGCAGAGTAAAGTGCCCTAATATCGGATACTTTTTTTTTGATCCCTAATATTAGTTTCAATACGTTAATGTATTTATAAATATTTTAGAGAAAAAAAAGAAATAGACTATAGAGAATCATTTCTATGAAGTAAAAGCTAAAATTTAAATTTTCATTAAAAACGGTAAATTTAGACTGACAAAAAAAATGTTCCTAATACCGGATATTAAGGTAACAGGATAAAATTAGCCATCGAGGGAGAAATCACAAATATATGTGTCTTTTTTGTAGTCATTGGTGCAGTCGGTGTGAGCTCACTTAAAACACTTTGAGCACTTGTTCGACCAAGGTATCTTTAGAGAAGAGTCCAGTACAAAACATACATTCTGCTTCTTTTTCCCCAATGTCACACTCCATGTCAGAATCATCATCTAAAATGATTTTTATCTTTTTCAGATAAATTAAAAGTTTTCTCTTTCTTAGCACTTTTCTTTTTAACCTTGGTTATCATTGTCTTTTTAGCAATAGATTTTCCTTTATTTTTATTTGTTTTCTTAAAAGGCTCACATTATTTGTCTATTTTTAATTTTGGAATTCCCTTTGAAATACTTTTATTTCTCTTCTGTTCTGACAAACTACTTTCTAAGGCATCTTTGGATGGTGTACCCGTAATCAAGGCAGCAGATCCTTTTTTGGACTTTCTTTTTTTAACACTAGACATGTAAAATAAAGTGGTGGGTAAAGGACTAATATCTTGTGGCCGCACTGTTGAATCTTTATTATTAGAAATGTTCTTACAAGACAAATTTTCCACAAATTTGGTCACATCAATACTTCTTGGAGGAGTTACGTATTTCGCAGGAGTTACTTGGTTTTCTTGTTCAGCCTCTGGTAGATTTGGAACTGCAACTCGGTCACCATCCGCCTGATGTTGAATGGAAAAGTCGTGTTCTCGAAAAATGTGTTTATTAAATGGTCCGATACGGCTTTTTCGAAAACCATTTATAGCGATTTCAGCTGTATCATATCTTACATAAGCTCTTTCAAGCAATTCGCAAACTTGTTAGCCTGAAAGAAGTATTAATATAACTGGATTAGCCCCACTTGGTTTAACGTGGCTGTAGAAATGAATTGCATACGTTATACACTTTTTATTTAACTGAACTATAATAAATTTAACATTTGAAACATTAAATAAACTGAAATGAAATGGACTGTATAATTTTCGAACTGGCTAGTTCGATGGTCGCTAGCTAAGAGAGGCGACTTGTTAAAGCCGACTCCGCATGGTCAGCCGGAACACCACGTTGCCACGTTGATTCAAGTTTTCACCATATTCCCCGCCTTGAACGGTTGGTTCAATAATACTGGTAGAGGACATATTTTAGTTACAGCTCTTTTTAAAGTTCCTTTCGACGTCTTCACTGTAACGACTCGTACTACGCCGTCTGGACCTGGGTGAACTTCACTGATTCGTCCTAAAATCCATTGACATGGAGGAACATTCTCATTTCTGATGGTCACCAATGTACCACATTCCAAATTGGGTACCTTTTGTTTGCCCTTATATCTGCTTTGAAGGCTGGAAAGGTAGGAAGTAGACCATTGCTTCCAAAAACTTTGCTGCAATTGTTGAAGCAGCTGAAATCTTGTTAACTGGTTCAGTTTTACCGTTTCACCAAAAGCTGGATCAGGAACAGCAGTATGTGATCTTCCAATCAAGAAGTGAGATGGGGTTAAGGGTGAAAAGTCATTAGGGTCTGAGGACATAGGGTAAAGGGGACGGGAATTTACCGTAGCCTCAGTTTGTGTTAGTATCGTTACAAATTCTTCATACGTTAATAAAACATTTTTAATTGTCCTTAGTAAATGATGTTTTACACTTTTAATGTTAGATTCCCACAATCCTCCAAATGACGGAGAATTCGACGGAATAAAATGCCATTGAATATTTTTATTTGTGAAAAAATTTGAAAATGTATCATAAGAGGTAGACAAAAACTTAAATAATATATTTAACTCATTTTTTGCACCTACAAAATTAGTCCCATTATCCGAATATATGTGAGATGGTTTACCTCTGCGAGCAACAAATCTTCGAAATGTTGCGATAAATGCTTCGGACGTAAGAGCAGTGACTAATTCTAAATGAACTGCCTTTGTACTGAAACAAATGAACAAACAGATGTATGCTTTATACGTTTTACAACCACGACCTTTGCGATCTTTAAGGACAAAGGGTCCTGCATAATCAACACCGGTGTGATCAAATGGAAATGAAATATTTACTCTAGATTGAGGTAAATCGGCCATGAATGGAGTAATTTGAGTTGGTTTAAATTTGTGACATGTTATGCAATTTCTAACAACAGATTTTACTGCATTCATGCCTCCTGTTGGCCAATATTGCTGCCTTATAGTATACAATAATAATTGTGGACCTGCATGAAATAAATTTAAATGTTCATCCTCAATTAGCAACTGAGTAAGCCGATGCTTACCATCTAATAAAAAAGGATGTTTGTGATTATACTCTAACCCAGAGTGGGTTAATCGACCACCTACTCGTAACAAATTATTACCATCAATAAATGGCGACAAAGCTAAGAGTTTGTGATTTCGTTTGACTTCTTTATTAGCTTTGATTAATTGTATTTCTTCCTGAAAACATTCATTTTGAGCTAATTTAATTAAACTTAATCGACCTTTTTCTAATTCATCTTGTGATAAAAAGGGGATGTACTGATTTTTGCGAGAGCCATGATTGCTGGATGTTGCATCTGGTAGTTTTCTATTTTTGCTAGAATTAAGTAGGTTCCTTAAGTACCTTAAACAATAACTGTGGACTCGCAACAGTTTACGAAAAGTAGAAAATTTATTAAAAATAATAAATTGATCTGTTCTTGAAATTAAGGAGATTGGTTTTTGTTTGATTTCTGGAATAATAATAGAATCTGACTGTTTAAATGGTGGAGGAATAAAAGAGCAATCCAGTAAAAATATAGGACCATTCCACCAAAGACGTTGATTAAGTAACTCATGGGGATAAGAGCCTCTTGAAGCAATATCAGCTGGGTTATCCTTTGATGCAACATAATGCCATGAACGACTTTTTGAGAGACGCTGAATTTCACTAACTCTATTGCCTACAAACACTTGAAGATTACTTGGATCTGCGTGTAACCAATGTAACACAATTTGTGAATCACACCAATAAATTGGAAGTATAGAAACCCCTATTGCTTCTATAACTGATTTCATTAATTTTGCCAATAATACAGCTCCACATAATTCTAATCGTGGAATTGTAAGTAGTTTTATAGGAGACACCTTGGTTTTTGAACATAATAAACGAACTGTAATGTTTCCAGAATTATCGAAGCACCTGATATACACAACTGCGCTGTAAGCATTGAACGATGCATCGCTAAATCCGTGTATCTCGTATCGTTGATGCGATTCGGTTAAAATAAATCTGTTCAATTGAAATTGATTTATCAAATGTAATTTGGACTTGAATCGATTCCAGTCCTCTACTAATTCTGTGGGAATCTGATCATCCCAATTCAGTTTTTGTTTCCATAACTTTTGTAATAATATTTTGACCAAAATAATACATGGACTGATAAGTCCTAACGGATCATAAACCTTTGCAATCTCTGACAAGATCTGTCTTTTTGTATTTATTGTTTTTTGTTGTTCTGGAAGATTGTAACATAAAATATCGAGTTTAGGAATCCATTGTATTCCTAGTGTCTTTACAGGATCTGAATTTCCCAAGTTTAAGACGCTAAGTTCATCGGCATTGTTCTTTAAATGTTCTATAATGACAGGATCATTGGAAACCCATTTGCGTAAATTAAAACCACTTGACTGCAGTATATTAGAAATGTTTCTGCAGGTTTGTTTCGCAACATCACAATCATCAAAACCTGTAATCAAATCATCGACATAAAAATCCTCATGAATTAATTTGGATTCTAATGGAAAATTATCTTGACAATCATAAGAAATTTGTCTTAAACATCTCATTGCGAGATATGGAGCACTCGAGGTACCGTATGTCACGGTATTTAAGGTCATAATTGAAAGAGGATGATGTACATCTTCTCTCCAAAATATTTTTTGTAAATGTCTATCATCTGGATGGACATCAATACACCGATACATCTTTTCGATGTCTGAAATAACTACATATTTATGAAACCGAAACCTTAACAATATTGCAAAAATATCATTTTGAATAGCTGGTCCTGCGTACTGAATAGAATTAAGAGACTTACCAGTTGTTGTATTAGCAGAACCATTGAAAACAACCCTTAATCGTGTACTAAGGCTTTCATTGCGGAGCACCCCGTGATGAGGTAGAAAATATGAACAAATGTTGTCATCGAAATATGTGTCAATTGACATATGGTTAAGTGCCTGGTATTCTTGCATAAATGAAACATAAAGATTCTTTAATTGAAGATCTTTTTCAAATTGTCTTTCAAGATTTAGAAATCTCCTCACAGCTAAGTCTTTTGAATCTCCTAACTGTTCTCTACTTTCTTTTAATGGAATCTTGACAATAAATTTACCAGTTGAATCTTTAGAATATGTATTCTTGAAATGTTCTTCACATATGTTGTCCTCTTGAGAAATTAACTTTGTATTTGAAACTTCTTCTATTGACCAAAATTTTTCAAGATCCTTCTGTACTTGATCATTCTGTACAAAAAAACATTGGACCTTATCGACATTTTGTGACCACAACCCGGCAACTACATAACCAAAACATGTGTTTTGTAAGACAGGAAGATTTTTACCCAGAGAAATTTTTCCATTTCGAAGTATATCCCAGAATAAATCGGAACCAATAAGCATATCAACTGATTGTGATCTATGAAACGAAGGATCTGCCAAAGAAATGTTTTTAGGAATATTTAATTTAGAACCTTCAATGTTATAAATAGGTAAATTTTCTGTAATTTTAGGTAGGACAAAACATGTTAAATTGAAGATATCTGAATCATAAGTAGATCCAATAGAAACATTGCATTTATAACGTAGGGTGGAAGTGACACGATTGATCCCCACAATTGAAAGATTTGCATCTATTTGCTTTAGGTTAAGTTTTTTGCATAATTTTTCTGTTAGAAATGAAGTCTGGCTACCACTGTCAAGAACAGTTCTTACCTGATGAACTTGACCATTATCATCCCATATATTAATGATGGCAGTAGACAGTAAAACATATGTATTATTAGTTTTTGAGAAATTAGACACAGCTAGCTCTGTCGCGTTATTTGATTCATGACAATTGGTGCCATTATTTGTTACTTGTAATGACTGAGCTTGAGCTGGTCGCATATTTGAATTTGTAATGTGATTAATTGAATAAGTTCCTTGATCCTGATAATGATGCAACAGGGTATTATGTTTACCTTTACAAACTTTACAGGACCCATGACTGCAATCTTTACTAAAATGTCCCTTGCATAGGCAATTTGTGCATAATTTCATACCTTTAATCCTTGTCCATCTTTGAGAAACACTTAATTGTAAAAATTGAGGACAATAGTAAATAAGATGATCACTTTGACATAAATGACATATTTTCTTTGCATTAGAAAGATTATTTGACACTAAAGATACATGTTTTTTAAATGGTTTTCTCTGTTGAGAACTTTGTTGAACTTGAGAGTTGACATTTATTCCCCTCTCTTCAAGCTTTTCTAATTGATTTGCTTTGTTATCTAGAAATTTAAATAAATCATTGACTTCTGGTAAAGTATCTTTATCGTATTTTTGCTCCCATTCTTTTAAAGTAACTTTGTCTAATTTGTCTGAAATAATATGAATCAACATAGCACTAGATAATGGATTTTCATAAGACAAGTTTAAATTCTTTAAAACAAGCAAATGTTGATTAACTGTATCTACTAATTCTCTTACAGCACTAGCACTTTCTTGTGTGACTGATTTTAAATTAAATAACGATTTAATATGACTATTGACAAGCAAATGAGGATTGTCAAACCGTTTGCATAAAGCCTGCCATGCTAAAAT